TCTGACTGTGTAAATTCAACATGTTACAACAATAATAAATGTATCAGTCATCAGTTAAATCACCACCCTCTTGATAATCAGCCTTGAAGTGCGCCGCCGTGGCAAGTGCAAATATAGGTGCAGTGATGGGTGTCAAAGCCAGGCTCAGTGGAAGAGCTGCAAAGCTCAGTGCGACCAAAACTTCCGATTGAACTGTGTTAATTTCGATTTTTCGCCATATGACTTGTTTTGTTTGAAAGCCTCACAGGAAGCTCCTATTGTGTAAGGCAGGAAGAGAGCAGTAGCAGCACCCACACCAAAAGTTATCACAAGATATGAAACATTGAGGTGGGGTTAAAGCTTTGGCTTTGTTTGTATGATTGTGTATGATGGTTGTCCAAGTGAAATTGTGCATGCACACTCGTGTATAATAATGCTTCACTCATGAGCAATATTGCTTGTCCATGCTCGCTATGCTTTTGGTTAAAATTCAGCCACCTTATTTTACCTAACTAAGGGAAAAAAACATGAAGCAAAAGGCTACAGAAGCAGTTTGTGCTTAGCTACATTTTACTTGGAGAGTAATCCGGGTCATAGCAATGCTTGTAAAGACGGGTCACACTAATCTATCCCCACAAATCATCACCATAAGGAAAAACAGGTTAAGTAATGAGATTGAAGCTGTTGACAAGTAACCACCACAAACATTACACACTCTGTGTTTGACCTTTAGCTCACTACATCGTGTTGTTTTATGTGATGATTACCTACACAGATTGTTTGCTTTAGATAAACATAGCAGCAGTACACAAGGCAAAAAGTACATCACCTGACCACACACATTGAGATAGGTGTGGTGGAAGCTTTAGAACTGGGGGTTACCTACCTCTGATCGAACAACAACATGTGTGTCGCCACACAAATTTTTAACATCTTTTGACATAATATTGCCGTGATGTTTGAGAAATATTTGGGTAAGCCAAGTGCAAAACATTTCTTGAGTCACAGCTAAGACACAGATACAACCATCTTTCTTTTTGGTATAATTATATGTTAACTTCGAACATAACATCAATATTATCGTGCGACGAAAGGCTGTGCATTAGCTTTGTCTATTTTGCATTTTTGCCTAGTCAATTGCACCTATAACCGTAGAATTTGGCCACTGTATATACTACAATGATTATTATTATCACAAACTCTAGCAATAAGCTACGTGCACAAAAGCACATAAGTGCTGTCGCTGGTCTCAAGAAATGACTTCATATACAGCGTCCTCCTCTGCACCTATATAGGAGAATGGATTATGGAGAAGAAGGGAAATGGAACTTCACACATCTCCTATAGTTTATATACCAGCTGGAAGAAGAGGTGATTCTCTGCAAGGGAAATTCACCAGTTCGTATCCTTCTCCTTCCCCAGCTGCCTCATTGGTAGAGGTTGTAATATGGACCCCTCCCCTCTCCCTAGTGTTCCATATGCCTCATTGGTTGAAGTTGGGATGCTGCTGACTGCAATTCCTCTTTTCCCTCTCACCTCCCCATATGCCTCATTGGTTGAAGTGTGGATAATTGTGCCTCGACCTTTACTACCTGTTCAAAGGTAAATAAAACCTTTCAGAATTGTTCCTGTGTTTTGAATAATATGAACCTTTGAGACACAGCAGACCAATAACACTGAGAGATACTATAACAGTTGCTACAACAACTCCAATTGTTATAGCCACAGTAGACAACAAGCCATCATCAGTAGACCTGTTGGGTCGGGAGTACTTAATTAGTCGCACTTATAATTATTACAATTAACCCAAAATTAGGGGTCGGCGCATAAGAGTCATCTTTTTCTTCAGCATCTGGAGTAAGAGTTGGCTTGGAGGAGATTCTCATACTAGAGATGGATGAAGTTGGGTTTGGCCCGGAGAACATTCGGCCACTGCTGGGAGTAGAGATGGTTGAAGCTGGAGAGGTGTAGAAAGTGGAGTTAAGTAACTGCTAGTTATCTCAGTGATTGTAGAGATGGGTATGGGTTTTTCCATGACTCTGCCCCATGGATACATTGATTTCACTGTGTTTAAGGATAGAGTTGGTAGAAATCAAAGTCATATTCCGTGGTGCATCTCCAGGAGCTATGTAATGTAAGTGCACCTGCCATACGGCAAATTTGATGGCAATTACCAAATGTACCATTAATTTATGTATTCAAACATATCTAGATTAAACACAATAAACATATTATTATAAGCACCTAACACTGTATGTTTGACTAGTGCACAAAGCATGCAATATTCAACTGCATTTTTTGTTTCAGTATTTTTACCTAATTCCAGTGTTGTTCCTGTTGCACATGCCATTATTGATGCTCCGGATATAGTTTTGGCAGCTACACAGCAGGTGTATCTTGTGAAAGTTGTCAGTGAATCCAGTTCCATGACCAAGTTACTTGAAGGCTGGATTGGGTGAGTCACGCCTTCGAAAATGACAATGTAGAGAGTGGCCCGAGACCCTGGAGGTGGTGACCAACTGATTTCCAGTTTATCAGGCCCAGTTGCTGTGAGAGCCACATTCTGCGGAGGCTCTAGAATAAAATTATACACATTATTCTTTGAGGAAACTAATTTCATCTTTACCTGTGCAGCCGCTACCAGTCCAGTATTCTGGGCAGGCACAGAAGTCTGGTGCTAGGCATGAGTGGGACCTAGGGCACCCGGGGCAGGTTGCTGCAGGTAGTAGTTTTGTTTTAGAGAACAACACGTGATTTAATACTAAAGAGGCAGCCATAGCAGTAGGGGGCAATTGATTGCTCACCCAGACAAATTGCTGGAACAATATACTAGCTACATGAATGCGAATGCAAAAACATATTGTATGCAACAAGAAAGAGTGCTTACGTAAGCATTCTTCTCCAGCTTCATGGTACCCTTCACAGCAACCAGGCTCCTGATGATACATGGTTCGTGTGCGATATCGAAGTTGTGATCTGTAACCAATGCTGTGAAGATTGAATAAATAATATTTATTCAATCTTGTATATAGCTATATTATAATAGTTAGCTAAACTGCAATATCGTCAGAATAATGGTCATCGGCCTATCCGCCGCGTGAGTGCGACTGTATTCCAGCACAGCTTTACTTGTTACTGATACGGAGCTAGTCTCAGCGTTCACTTTTTCGCATCGCTACGCAATGAGCACGTGGGCACGCGGGGGCATGCGATCGCAGACGCGGTGGCGCTATATACAACGTTTTCTGCCACCACGCGCAACGAGACAACGAAGCACTATAATTATACATCGGCTTGCTTTTAAAATGAAGTCAGTGTAGCACTGAACCCGTTGGTATCGCTATTTTGTTATCTCGTTGCGCGTAGTCGCAGAAAACGTGGTAACAGACAGACTGACTGACTGACTGACTGACACACTTACGGGACAACTACCGTAACCCTCGCTGCGCATGCGCGCCGAGGGTTAATGAAAAGCACTATTGCTTGTGCTTGCTCGCTACGCTCTTCGTTGCAATTCAGTCACCTTATGTAAGGAAAAAAACATGAAGCTAAAGTCTCCAAAAAGCAGTTCGTGCCCCTTTTTTACTTGGCGAATAATCCGGCTGATAGCAAAATTTTTATTAAATGAGGGTCAACAGTAATCTATCCCTACCAATCATCACAATAATTATTTTGAGGAAAATGTAAAATGTAATACTTTGTGTCATCATTCTGTTATAATAAATTATTATAGCTCAGAAATGATATTGAAGCTGTTGACCAGTAACCATCACAAATCTCATTACACACTCTGTGTTTGACCTTTAGCTCACTATTATCATGTTGTTTTATGTGATGATTACCTATTTAGAAAAAGTACACAAGGCAAAAGTAAACCACCTGACCACACACATTAAATGGAGAGATATAGGTGTGGTGGAAGCTTTAGAACTGTAGGTTACTTACCTCTGAAGAAAAAGTACAACATGTGTATGGCTACACTAATTTTAACCCTCTCGTGACGTTTCAGAAATATTTGGGGAGGCCAAGTGGAAAATAATTTCTTCAATCATAGCTAAGGCACATTGCTACAACTGTCTTTCTTTTTGGTACGTTAACTTCGAACACAACATCCATATTATCGTGCGATGAAAGGCTGTGCATTAGCTTTGTCTATAATATGCCACACGTTTTTGTCTGGACAATTGTATAATACTCTGCAATGATTCTTACTATCACAAACTCTAGCCATAAGCTACATGCACAAAAACATGAGTGCAGTCACTGGTATCAAGAAATGACTTCATATACAACGTCCTCCTCTGCACCTATATAGGAGAATGTGGAAAAGAAGGAAAAAAAAAGGAACTTCATACATCTCTTATTATAGCTTACCAGCTGGGACAAGAGGTGATTCTTTGCAAGTGAAATTCACCAGTTCATATCCTTCCCCTTCCCCAGCTGCCTCATTGGTAGAGGTTGTAAAACGGACCCCTCCCCTCTCCCTCACCTTCCCATATGCCTGATTAACCCTCGGCGCGCATGCGCAGCGAGGGTTACACTAGTTGGGTTTGTCTGTCTGTGTGTCTGTTACTCTTCATCTCACTTCTCGAGTGTTCTTTCGTCTCACAAAGGATACCACCTACCGAACGGGCAATGAAGGTCAGAAATTTCGAACGGTTTTCTCTGAAAACGCTCCGTTGCAAAGCTAGAGCGCTTCCACCGTTGTACGGCTAATACGTAGTCGGCCATTTTTATCGCTGCGGAAAATTCGCATGCGCTTATATTTAGCACAGGACCGTGTCTTCTTGCTCTGTGTATTTTGAAGGCACAAGAAGTCACAACGAAGGGCGTGTATCGACTCTCGCATGCTAATCTAGCTAGCCCTTGTCAGACTCTCTGCGAGCTATATTATACTAGCGGCGGGAGACCGCGCATACTAATATAACGCGCATGCGCAGTTCACCGAGGGTTGCACTTCAGTGCTTTTCATTGGTTGAGGTTGGGATGCTGTTGACTGCAATTCCTCCTTTTCCCCTCACCTCCCCATATGCCTCATTGGTTGAAGTGTGGATACTTGTGCCTCGATCTTTACTACCTGTTTAATAGGTAATGAAAGAACGCTCAGAATTGTTCCTGTGTTTTGAGGGGGAAAATTGTGTGTAACCTTTGAGACAAAGCAGACAAATTACACTGAGAGATACTATAATTAGAGTTGCTACAGTAACTCCAATTGTTATAGCCATAGTAGACAACCAACCATCACCAGTGGACCTGTCGAGAGTATTATACATAATTATTTGCACTATTATTAACAACGGGAAGTATATATGAACCCAAGATTAGAGGATGGTTTATCCACACCGAACAAGGTAGGATCAGCTGGAGTAAGAGTTGGCTTGGAGAATATTCCCATACTAGAGATGGACGGAGTTGGGATTGGCCCAGAGAACATTCGCCCACTGCTGGAAGTAGAGAAGGTTGAAGCTGGATAGTTGTACAGAGCAGTTGTGGTTGGAGTTAAGTAGCTGTAAATTCTCTTAGTGATGGTAGAGTTAGCTGTGGTTGATGTTGTTCCATGGCACTGCCCTGAAAAGGCTGTGGATACATTGATATCACTGTACATAATGATAGAGCTGGTAGAAATGACAGAGTTTCCAGCCGCATTGGAAGAAGAGAAGGTTGAGGAAGTGCTGATCTCTGAAAGTTGTTGCATTGTAAGTTTGAGCTAAAAACACATTGTAGCACATACCGCTCATGAGTCCAACATAAACTGTTTGATTTGTCTTTGTGTCGTCCTGAATCACACACCTGTAGCAGGTCCACCCTTGGATGCACAGGAGAGGGTAAACTGAGGACTGGCTCCATCAATGTCCACAGTAAGTGTAACACCACCAAATATGGACACATCTCCTGTATGCATAAGAAATAATTATGCGCTTTAGTATCATCTACGATTTAGCTTAACACAAACCACCATTTGCATACAATCCAACATATACCGTGTTTCGAGTCAATTGAGTGGTTGTGCTACCATGGACCTCAGCAGTTGCAATGTCACAATGATACATGCCAGATGGTGAGGTGGCTTTCCTACGACAACTCTCCGATAGTCACCAGCTGAAGTGAAAGGTGGAGAG